TAAATAATTAATCCATTGTTCTAAGTTCAAGTTTAAGAAACATATTTTTTAACTCGAAATTTCAATTATTGTAAGCGAAATGTTTTGGAAATTCGTACAATTAAACGATTTTGTACGCTTATTACAGACAATAAAAAATACGCCTTCAACTTTAAAGATAAAAAATCTACTAATATCAAAAAGTTTAAAATTTCAGCGATATATAAAATATTTTAAGGCAAATAAATTTACACCATAAAGATTTTTATGGTAAAAAGTGAAGGTAAATTTAAAAATTATAAACATTTTGACGTGTTTATATTATTATAAAACAGTTGTTGTCATTGTTATGATGGATTTTATAAAATTCTAGAACAAGATTTGCATTGAAATTGGTTAATAAAAGTTTTCATTTTTTTTGAAGTGTTGTTTTTAAAATTCTTTGCATCCTGTAATTATTGAAATTCAAAATGCGTATAAGGTCATTCTGCTATAGTTACTGTAAGAAGATGATACGACGCCAATGGTTAAAGAATTTATGCGACCAAGAAAACAAAGAAAATTAAAATTTTTAGCCGTTTTAGATGGCAAAGCACGAACTTACATTGAAATAATCTAATTATTCAAGTATAACAAACGAATGAGAAACCTGAGCGCATACCATTGTTAATCATTTATATTGTTTCAATTATAGGTCGTAAAAAAAATACTTATTCACAAAAATTCGCAAACAACAATGAAAGAAAAACAAAATAAGGACGACAAAGAAAAAAGAATAACGTAATTTGGTACATTACCTTTTGTTTTAATGAAATCCAAGCACTTTCACAATATAAAGGAACTACTTGTTAAAAATTGCAATTCTTAAAACTTTTCTTGAAAACTTAGTTAGTTAGTAACCAAAATAATTCAAAGCGTAAATACTTTGGACTTGTTTTGGTCGATAGAATGGCACTGTGTTTGGCAAGGTGTGATTACAGGTATACACATGCAGCTTCTTATACGTTGCTCCCACCATTTGCCGAAGACAGGCTCACGCTTAATAACCTTATCTAATAGCGTTAATTACGATTCTGTTGGGGAAGCTACAAGTCGAAGTGATTTTTCGAGAACATTTTTTTGTTTTTTCTTTTCGTCTACTTAGCTATTGACGCGAACATCGCATTAAATACACGAGAAAAATCGAAAATTGTAAACTAATTTTTATAGGAAGGATATACACCGTAATGCATTGCATAAAATATTCATTCATTGTTCAATTTGCGTGACAAACAATTACGAAGATAAAAAAGGATAATGAAGTGTGTTTAGTTATAGTGATTTATATTTACGATAATGAAAATTGCTTTTTTTTCCATTTTTTAAAATGCGTTAGTATTATTGCTTTTAAGTTGTTTGTAATTAAGAAAAATGGTTTGTTTATAAATTAGGACTTATCGTTTGTGTAGTGAGTGTAAAAGAATGAAAAAAAATTTTTTTGTAAGTACCCATACGTTGGTTTTAACAACGTACTACTTTCTGGCTACTTACTTTCACATCTATTGGTTGACCATTTCAAAAATATTTTAAAATTGAAAACTTTAGGGACATGTGATGCAGTAATAAATCATATTAACTCGTACGATTTTCACGAATTAGCTCTAAAATAATGAGAACAGGGTAATATTGTAACTAAGAGGGTGAAAGTGAAAAATATTTTGCTAAATTACACTTACAATTAGTTAACATATGGTTCCGAAGCAATTAAATTGAATTTAATCATAAAAGCTTTCCTAAATCATTTTATTTTAAAAACTTTATCATCATTATAAGGTCGTCAGTCCTAAGACTGGTTGAACACGCTCCTTCACTCCTTTCTATCCTGAACTAAACTTCGCATTTCCTTAAAACCAGAACATCCCACTACATTTCGAACGTCCATGTTTCGCACCCGTACAGCGCCGCGCTCTAAACATACACTTTTATAAATCTTTTTCGAAAATCATTACCAAATAAAATCTTAGCGTTTGTTTGTTTGTATATTCGTTTTTCGTTCGGTTTGTGGTAGAAAACATGACCCAGAATACTAATCTTCATTTAACGTTTCCAAAAAAACGAAAAAGATGTAAAATTGTGCGATTTAGCTTTCAGATGACCAGGATTCTAGAAAATTTCATCCGATTTTATTAAGTGGTTTAAAAGATACCCACTAGTGAAAAAAAAACTGTGAAAAAGGCCTTCCAAACAAAACCAGAATTCTTTCACAGTACAATATTTTGGAATTAGCCCATAACATGTAACCTCATGACCCAGAGACGAAATTTTTATTTAATGATAAATAAACCTTTTTTGAAACAAGCATCATACCTACATGAAAATGTAATAAAATGTTCTAATTGTAGCTACCTCTACTTACGGGCAAAGCCTTTTTTAGTCTATTGGAGACCCTGGGTACATGAAAATAATGAAGCCCCTATGGTTTTGATAGAGGGGTATTTATCGTTAATAAATATAGGTTTTCGGTTATTGGAGCAATTTGGCACTAGGGGTCTTGTCGATCGGAGCCCTTGGGTACTTGCCCAGAGTGCGTGCTTATTGGGTATCGGTAAAAATAACTAACCAAGCAAAGCACAAAATAATCTTTTTTAGACATAAATTAACAATTTAGGGTTTCTTCATAATCATCAAATACAGTAATGTTCTAATTTATTAACATTAAACTTGTCTAAAGTATATCACCTTACGACTTATATGTGCCCCTTCAAAACATTGGTTATTTTTAATTAAAAATTCTATTTTAACGACATCATCCTGGACATCAGAAGTAGGCGCGCTGGTTGGTTCCATCTTTTAGTTGGACGTCTTAATGGTCAGATAATTCCAGAAGAAACTATTAACCGAGAAGATACATAGACGGAACATCAGGATATATAAAATACCACAAATGGCACGGTAAACGCCATCTGTAGTACGATGCTACATTTTAGGATTACGTATGCTCCAACAAGGTCCATTTGTGTGGAAAAAGATCGAAATCGCGATCCGCGTCTGGCAGTTTCGACAGAATACAGACCATTTGGAATTATTTTATCAGGATATATTTAAGATACTAATAATATATGAGTGATCATCAAGTACTCTGAGGTGATCATCGTTCATTATACGTGCTGATGCTCTAAATATCTAATATGGCTCTGTTTGTATTGGAAATTGTAGCTATCTATATCTCCACGGCTAATGGTCCTTTCAGGAATTACCTGACTATTAAGAAGTCTGATTAAATGATGACACTAAACGTGCCTACTTTTGATATCCAGGTTGTTGTAGTTAAATCAGGATTTTTAATGAAAGACAATCAACGTTTTGACATGTCGGACGCATATAAGTGCCAATAGGGTCATATACATTAAAAGAAATGCTAGTGACTATGATTATAAATATCCGACTACGAAATTGTTAGGTAAAATTAAGTTACGGTACGGAAAATTTTTCCTGATTAGCATATACAGTCGAATATGGACAAGTGAGAGCTCAAGGGACCGCGATCTGTTTTTCTCTTATAGAGGTTTCTCACTAACCCGAGTTTCTAGCTTACAGAGTTATAGGAGGAATTTGTCTCACTTATAGAAGTCTATAAAAATACGGTTCGACAACACATTGAGTTTTCGTTTAGACATTATGAGGAAGTACAGGACCTTTCTTCGCAACTGCTTTTATGAATTGACTGTAATAAGATTGATAAACGAGTCGGTACGCACATTTGGCTATAATAAAATAATAGACTTATTCGGTCATTCGCAGATTTGGTCATTCGAATGAAATAAGAGTCTCTTGAAATTTAAGAACGAGTCATAAAATAGCAAAAGTAAACTGTCGCTTGTAGAGGTATAGACAAGTAGCAATCTCACTTAAAGAGGTTCGCGCATGAAAAATGACTGTCACTTATACAGGTTTTATGTTTCTTACTTATAGAGACTTTAGAAGGGCAAAATGACGGGACCTGGCAAATACTCTCCTTAATAGAGTTTCCTCGCTTACCCAGTTCTCACTTATCCAGGTTTGACTGTATAATGTGTTGTATATACACCTATGAGTTTAGGTTAGGGTGCGGGTTTCTCTGATTGCGACCGAGCGGCATGGCCTAGAGGTTTAGACCATTGCTTAGCATTCGGGAGGACGCCGGTTCGATTCCGGGTCCGTCTGCCTTGGTCCAAGTTTTTCTGTGGTTTCCTTGGATCACTTAGGCAAATGCTGAGGCAGTAATATTCCACAGATAATCTTTCACTCTCTTCTGTCTTCATT